AACTCGTCTCTTCTGTGGCGTAGGTTCCCAGCTTGACAAACTTCGGCTCTCGTTTGTTTTGGAAACGTAGGTTTAATCTCGGAGTTGAAATACTGCGAGTTCACGGGATTTCTTTTTTCGTGGAAGCTATAAATTATCAAAGAAAAAGTTTTGAGGTCCACGCCTTGAATGAAGTACATGTGCAAACTGATTTGAATGTTCGGCGGAAGTGATCAGATACTCGATGCAGCCTATTTTTTGATCTTTACAGAAGTAAAAATAATGAAGTAAATGCCATTCCTTCATATTTGAGCAACTGAGAGTTCAACAAAATCGATAACCATTAAATTCTTTCCCGTTGGTACCACAATAGTGAAAGTGAAAGACCTTTAAAGGGTTACGCGAGCACATGGCGTCGGCCAGAGTCACGTGGTCGGTAAATTAGTTTTAGAAGATTTCTAGATTTTTCTGGTGTACTCTCAGATTGCTTACTTTGAATTTCAATGTACGTCAAGGAAATGGTTTATCTGATTCTGTATTGTATGTATTTTTAGGCTCTTGACAAAATTCGTTATGAGAGTTTGACTGACCCAACTAAGCTTGACAGCTGTAAGGATCTGAAAATTGAACTGATTCCTAACAAAGATGATAACACCCTGACCATCGTGGACACTGGAATTGGTATGACCAAGGCTGACCTTGTTAACAACTTGGGTACTATTGCTAAGAGTGGAACAAAGGCATTTATGGAGGCACTTCAGGTATAATAAGAAAGAAACAACTCTTCTGTACTGTACAACATAAAGTAACATGCCCCAAATGTGAAAGGAGTGTGATTTACAAATGAGGGTACCTCTTTTCAGGTTACCATCTGCTAGCAGTGAGAATTTAATAGTTGCAGGTTTAGTCTTTATCAGCTCAATGAGTAGTGTAATTTGCTGATGGGAAAAAAATGATATGTAGGCTTAAATGAAAACTGCCATAAAAATTGATAATAACTGTTAAACTGTTTTTAAAACTAACAAAGACCAATAAATTGCCCAAAAAAACCACAAGCAGAAGGAAATATAAAAACTTGAAAAACTTTTTTTCAAACTCTTTGATTATAAAGGGATAAGGGATGGTTCATTATTTATGAGGATGACTGGGTCGGGAAAAAAATAATAGCTTTCCTCTTTCTTTCTAAAGCCCGCCCAAAAGGCATTTTGTTTTTTTGTAGCCCGTTCAGTATTTGGGGTCAAATTTTTCAAAGCCCGTTCAAATTGAAGTGAGTACCTTGTGAAAATCATTCAATGTTTATTTACGACTAGAGCAACTAGTGCATGTTCGGATCAAATACACAACTGTTCGCCGTTCGAGTCAGCAAACGGCTATCAAACGAGTTCAGCGATTACAAACAATAATTTATTAACATCTGTGAAAAGTGCACGTTAATAAATGCCATCCAGCTTGAGGCATTTCATCGTTTGCCAAATAACTGAAAAAGTCCTAAATATATCTTTGAACACGGATATATAACCGTTCGTATTAAATAACTTGCAACCGTGTTCGCATTATAACTCCCTCCTTTTTTTAAGGAAGGAATGTTTTTTTGCCGAAGACGCGGTCAAGATAGATGAAAGACTCGAAATCATGCGTCAGAAAGTAAAAACCTTTAAAGGATATACTTCCGCTTCCCAGGCTTCAGACGAAGATTCTGATTAGTTTTATCATTGTTCGATCAGTGAAAATTAACACAAGACGCTAGGCATCAAAGACTATGCGGACTGCTCAGTTGTTTTTTAAGTATGAAAGGAACAGCTTTATAATGTCACAGCTTGTCACATTTACAAGATACAAAAATTGTTCACGTTTTTAAATAATAAAAGTTTATTTCCAAGACTGATAAGAATGTAAACCTATTTTTGCATGAAATAAACGGAACTTGGCTGGCAGACTCCGCGGCACTGTGGTGCGTGCAGAAAAAATATTTTCAATTCCCTAGGAGTTGCAACTTGAGATCCTCGATCAAAACATCTTGTTTTCTTGTGTACAGTCTGGCGGAGTCCGAAGATTTAATATTCCAACCGTTGGAGTTCACTTTGATTAAAATCCTTGTCCATGCATCATTTGAAATTCTAATTTGATTACAAGCTCTGAAATGTCAAGGAATATAAACAACTATAAACGAGCAGCTCACAAAGTACATTTGTGTCATTCCGTGGCCTGTCAAAATTCTTGAGTGTTCGACCGCAAAGCGCGAGCTTTTTCTTGCGGGTATATCCCTGCATTACCAAAAATATTGTAGCAATATTTATTTGATATGAAGGTACGACAATTTACCGGGTGAATTTTCAACGACGAATACAGTTTCCATGTGTTGTTCTCATCAAACGACTGCCGCGTTTCTACCACAGTTTTAGTTTATGTTCACTTTTTTTTAAAGCCCGGTCTCTTTGTTCAAGAAAAAAACACGAAAGCCCGTCGCCACGGCAAGAAAAATTTTCAAAGCCCGTTCGGTTTTTTTCCCGACCTGGTCATTCCCATAAATAATGAACCATCCCTAAGAAACAATGGCTGAGGTATCTGAAACCACATGTCTGCAAATCCAGTACCAAAAGCAGCAAATCAGTGTCCAAAATGGTGCAAATAAGTTACACAACAGTGGTCCTGTGGTTATTGTTTTTTGAATCCATAGCATGAGTTCCAAGCCCTTCTAGAGTATCAGAAGTTTTCCTAATCACCTCATGCCATAGAAACCGGGTTAAGGTTTGGCCTGATGATCCTCTTACCTCAAAATGCAGACTTTCATCCCTTTAATTAAATGCTGATTAAAGCCTTTTTTTTTCCTCAGGCTGGAGCTGACATATCCATGATTGGTCAGTTCGGTGTGGGTTTCTACTCAGCCTACCTAGTGGCGGACAAGGTTGAAGTTTACACCAAGCACAATGACGATGAGCAATACCTCTGGCAATCTGCTGCAGGAGGTTCCTTCACTGTTCGTAGGCTGGCTGAGGAAGTTCTTCCTCGCGGAACAAGAGTTGTTCTGCACCTCAAAGAAGACCAACAAGAGTATTTCGAAGAAAAACGGATTAAAGAGATTGTGAAGAAACACAGCCAGTTCATTGGGTATCCCATTTCCCTCATGGTAAGTATTTAACAGCATAGGTGGATGCAATTTCACATTAGCAATTTACTTTGAGGGCCTTTCCAAACCAAAAATTAATGGTCATGTTTGGGCAGGTAATCTTGACCAGTATGGGAGTAAGTTTAGAAAAGAATTTACTGATATGTTCAAGTTAAATCGCATACATTTATCTTGCATCTAAATTTTGGACTTTAGAATAAATTCACGGAAATTTGATATTGCTTAACTCTCTGTTCTTACTTGAGCTGAGGCATTTGATTTCTTTTGACCATTCATAACCTGACTTACTAAAAAATTACCCAAGGGCAAATTAACCCTTCAGTTAGAGCATCATTGGTTTTAAGTTCTCTTTCAACTAAACTTAAGTTAATTTGTCTTGTTTATCTAGGTGCAGAAGGAGCGAGACAAGGAAGTTAGTGATGATGAGGATGAGGAAGAGGAGGACAAGAAGAAAGAGGAGGAGGAGGAAGACAAGGAAAAGCCCAAAATTGAAGATGTTGATGAGGAGGAAGAGGAGAAAAAAGAAGAGAAAAAGAAGAAGAAAATCAAGGAAAAATACACTGAAATGGAGGAGCTGAATAAGACCAAGCCACTTTGGATGCGAAACACAGATGAGATCACATCTGAGGAGTATGCGGAATTCTACAAGAGCTTGACTAATGACTGGGAAGAGCATTTGGCTGTAAAGCACTTTTCGGTTGAAGGACAGTTGGAGTTCCGTGCTCTTCTTTTCCTTCCCCGCCGGGCACCGTTTGATCTGTTCGAGAAGAAGAAGCGCAACAACATCAAGCTGTATGTGCGGCGTGTCTTCATTATGGATAATTGTGAAGATCTCATTCCAGAGTACCTGAACTTTGTTAAGGGTGTGGTGGATTCTGAGGATCTGCCGTTGAACATTTCTCGTGAGATGCTGCAGCAGAACAAGATCTTGAAGGTGATCAGGAAAAACATCGTCAAGAAGTGTTTGGAGCTGTTCAATGAAGTGACGGAAGACAAAGACAATTACAAGAAATTTTACGAACAGTTTGGCAAGAACATCAAGCTGGGAATTCATGAGGATTCTGTGAACCGCACAAAACTGGCTGATCTCCTGAGGTATCACTCCTCAGCTTCGGGTGATGAAATGACATCACTGAAGGATTACGTCACGCGCATGAAGGAAAACCAGAAAGACATCTACTACATCACCGGCGAAAGCAAAGATCAGGTGGCACACTCAGCTTTTGTGGAACGAGTCAAGAGCCGTGGTTTTGAGGTGCTGTACATGACCGAGCCTATTGATGAGTATGCGGTGCAACAGCTGAAGGAGTATGATGGTAAGAAACTTGTCAGTGTAACAAAGGAAGGGCTTGAACTCCCAGAGGATGATGAAGAGAAGAAGAAATGGGAAGAAAAGAAAGCCAAATTTGAACCTCTCTGCAAGGTATTTATGTTGATTAATCTGTTTTTTTACATGTATGTTTCCTTAGAGCATTTCTGCGTCATTATTTGATTTTGTGCTTCATGGTTGAAGATGTAAACGAATTGGAGAAAGAAACTTGCGCCATCTTTTGCCATAAATAATATTAATGCTCACCTCTGGGTGTGAACTAGTGGTACAGGAAAAGGAAATAACAGTAGACTGACATGAAAATAAACTGCAATACTTTATTATTAAATGACCTGTATGACATTACAGTGTCATAAAAATTTTTGTGATGTCTTAATTTTTTGGAAAGGACATTGATTTTCATGAATCATTTTGTCCCTTGATTTTTGTTCTTCCTGACGTCAGATAAGGCACTTTTTAAAATTAATGCAGAGTAGGTGAACTGCATTTACTGAGAAAAAACTGGTTGCTTTGTGTCTGATTTAGAACCTGGTAATAAAACTTAACTCCTGATAATAGATGTTGTCATCAGATTTCTGCCCAAAATATCACAGTGTGATTAAAGAGACTTTTTTATAAGTATGGATGGCAAAAAGTGTAGAGTATATGTGTGTTGCCATTGTGCTCAAAGTTTATCTTTAATTTTTGCAGACAGTCAAGGAAATCTTGGACAAGAAGGTAGAGAAGGTAGTGGTGTCTGCTCGTTTGGTGTCCTCTCCTTGCTGCATTGTAACCAGTCAGTTTGGATGGACCGCAAACATGGAAAGGATCATGAAGGCTCAGGCCCTTCGTGACAACAGCACCCTGGGGTATATGGCAGCAAAGAAACATCTTGAAGTGAATCCTGATCACTCAATCATTGAGACGCTGAGGCAGAAGGTTGAAGCAGACAAGAATGACAAGTCCGTGAAGGATCTTGTCATGTTGTTGTACGAAACATCTCTTTTGTCCTCTGGTTTCACGCTTGATGACCCACAAGTTCATGCTGGCCGTATCTACCGCATGATCAGCCTGGGGCTTGGTATTGATGATGATATGGAAAGTAAGTTGATTTGTTTCACTACCCCCTTACTTTCAAGTGGCAACTCAAACCTGTTTTTACGTTCAGAGCTGCATGCCAAAGTAATAATGACTTCTTTGTGCAAATGCAGTTTTATATTTTTGAACTCTTATTTGTATTCCAGTATTTACCAAAAGAATTAACTTTGGGGAGCATCTTTTCAAGGAATGGTAATTGGTACTCTCCGAGATGTTGAGAACAGCGGGCTGTAGAATATAAGACTTACAGCCAAAGTTCATAGCACTGAGATGTCAAGACACTTCACAAAAATTAATGTTGATTGCATGAAAGTTTCCCCATCCCAGTTTTCTTAGTACTATTTGCTTACCCATCTGAGAATAAAACTGTATAACCCCTTCAATCCTCTTGAAAAAATTTCTTTTTTTTAAATCCCAAGAAACAAAATTGGTAGCATGCAAATTAGTTCTGCCAAAAAGGTTTCATGTGAATGGTAACATCAAATAGACAAAATGGTAAAAATCTTTTTGTTCATCAGGTGGTGAGGCAGCTGCAGCTGCAGCTGAGGGATCTACTGAGGACATGCCCCCACTGGAAGGTGAAGAGGGCGATGATGCATCCAAGATGGAAGAAGTTGATTAGATATTCTGCAGTGTGTTGTTCCTGGCCATGCATTCAAGTTCATATTCATATTACCTTGGAGTGGTTTTTTGCCCAGATTTATCAGTATGCCAGCAGACGAAGGTCTCATTTGCAGCAAGACTTAGTGCCGTGAAACAAAATGTTATTGCTAGAGATAAAAAGAAGACTCGTCAACTGATTCTTAGCATTTTGATTCTTAACTCAAGGGGCTAGGTTTAGGAGTTTGAGATTCTTTAGATTGAGTGTTAACCAACTTTAGTGCATGTGGTTAAATAACCTTAACTTTCTGTTGTTAGGCCTAGTAATCTAACCCTTTGCTGTTTCGATGAGTATCTGCAAGTTTAAGTTTACATGATAGAAGCTGAATAAAAGGTGTTCAAAAAAGACTAGAGTGGATTTTATGGACTGTTTCCGTCCCTCCCTGCACTCTTCTGCACCCGCTCTCTTTTTTTTTGAACTAAACTAGTGAGCAGCAATCCACAAACTCATAACTGAAGCTGCAAAACCTGCGCTTTGTTTAGCTAACGTAGACTTCTTCAGGGGGTTAAACAATCAAACACGACCTGTAGTTAAGCTTACCTTCATTGCTCAAGTATTTTTACGACTTAACTCGATGCAGCCAGGCGCTCCACAGAGCTAGTCCTGTCCCAGTCAGGAGAATTTTGGGGTCCCCGACAACGCACTACCACAGTTCCTTGTCTGTGAAAGTGTCATGCATACTTGTAGTGCTGTGGCTTAAGGTGATTTTTAACAAAGTGTTACTGACTGGAAGCAAGCACCAAATTTGGCATAAGGTCTCTTGGGTGCAATGAACAAATCTAGGAGGAGGGTGCCTGATGTTAGGGGCATGGAAAGTGATTTCACGAACCTGTTTTAGCATGAAAGCCAGGTTGTCAAGTTTAGCACTATGGTGACCACGAACATTACTGGGGGCTTTAGAATTCGAGAATAGAATCTTTTTGTCTATTTTGCGAGCAAGGAAAGAATTAACTCTGACGGCCACCAGTCGAATGGAAGTTGAAAAAATTTTGTTCCCGAATTATATGTGATATGTGGCTGTTACAGTTATTTCGAATATCGTGCTGTTCTATATTGAGGTCTTTCAGAGGTATAACTTACAGAGCAATATAGCAAGGTTAAGTTAAACAAATGCTGCTTTTTTAAAAAAATACACATTGTTCCTTTGAAGTCTGAAGGGCTCAGTTGTTCAAAGGCCGTTTAGCGCTAACCCGGGGTTAAATTTTAATCCGAGTTTCATTTTCTTCTGTTCAAAAGCACTTTCGCTGATAATTGTCGCTATTCTTTTTAGCGCATCCAATCATCAAATTGTAGACAAGAAGAATAATACTGAATTTGCTTATTAAGCTGTCGTATCTGAATTCATATTTCGCACTTACGCTGGGTTATGTTCATTAACCTAGCTTTGAAAAACCCGGCCCTGGAAAAAAAATCTTGTCTCTTATTTTGTAACATGATGTTGAGCGAAAGAAAAATTGATAACCGTAAAGGCAAACGCTCTGGAGGGAGACAAAAGCTCATGCACATAACAGATTAGGCTCGATATCCGCCACTTTCACCGGTCTTGTTCCACCCCGAGAAGAGACGGGGGAGGAACGCGGGTTAATTTTCCGAGCAGCGGTTATCTACTAATCGAGCCTTAAAAGAAGACCAGTTGACGGTAAAAAGGCCTAAATCATTGAAACGACGTTTGTTTTTCTTTGTCGAACTATCCATTGCCATTAGCAATGATAAGATTAATTTAGGCTAACACCTTCCATTTACGGAATAAAAAACCTATGACGACGAAGAATATCTGGAACCCGGGATCGGGACCAAAAATACATGGGACGCGAGTAATTATTAGGGACTGTAAGATCTGCCGAGCATGGCAACGAGAACTTCAAAAACAAACAAACAAACAAAGGTTTAGAAGGCAAAACAACTTTGCACGTGTATCACACTTTTTTGTACATTTCTTTGCCATTTTTTGCACGATTACGACGTGAAATCAGGTCAAGACTATGCGTTCTTGTGTTAGGAAGCCCGTGCTTCTTTTTGCGAGTCCTTCCTGTGGTTAACAGAGCCAGGAAAGCTGTAAGCAGCCGGTGTCCAAGTTCAGAGGCGGATCCAGGGGGAGGATTGAGGGTGTTTTCCACCCCCCCTTTGGGAAGTTTTCAAACTTTTTGTCTGGCTACCAATGTCAACCCCTTTTTCATACCAAAAATAATATAAGTTATAATATAAGTCCCAGTCCAATCGATCATTACAAGAAGACTGTAGCTATTCCTCTTCTTGACTCCTTAATCATCCAAATCACCATTGTCTGACGAAGATCGCCGCGCCCGCCGCCATGTGCTTTGTCTCGTGCATCGATCATAGTAAATAAGGCATTGGAGCTGGATGATGAAGTAGAAGGCATGCTGTTCTGGGAGAAAGACATTCCATTTCTCAATCCCTTGGAAATGAGGTACGTAGACGGAAAACAATCTGGCAGTCAACAGATATATTGGGAGCTTCCAAACAACCTTTTTTTAGCATTTGGTGTTGGCTATGAAGATGCTTTTCGGAACATCTGTCGCCTTCTAGTCATTGCCTGCACCCTACCGACCACAAGAGCAGAAGCTGAGCCCCCGTTTCACTGATGAAATGAATCAAGACCTGCTCTTGGTCAACAGTGCCTAAAGAGCAATTCTCTGATCTCGCAGTGATTGCCACGCACTATATTCCGAGAGATTCGAGGTGGAGGTAGACGAGATACGCCAGCAAGCCTTTGTAATGGCTCATCCAAGAAGGCTCTTTCAAGCTAGTCTGTTTGATTAAATGGGCGGTTAAAAAAAGAGACAAACAACTATCGTTGTTGCATTGTAATAATGGTGTCTCGAATTTGACAAATTTACTCTGAAATCAAAATGAAGAAAATCTACGTATTCAAACATTACCCTCCCCCTCCCCCATTCCTTTGGCCCTGGGATGTTTGCCTTGAACTCTCATTCTTACAACCCCCTCTTTGAAAAAATCCTGGATCCACCCCTGAAGTTTCATATTCGCGTCATATTCTACTGGTACCTATATCTACCAGTGTGTGTCTAAGATGAGGGAGTTCTAGCAGGCCCATGCATGGCCACAAGGACTGAACGTTTCTCAAATTTTGCTATAGTCTTAAATATTAATCTTGTCAATCAATGTAGCGTATTAGTATATATATATATCACAGCTTGTGAGGTATCCTACAATTCAGTCTTCGGACGGCAAAAGGGACAATAAACCGGTGATCATGATTTAAACCAGTGATTTGTCTGGATGGCGGACTCGACGAGAATATCCTGTAGTTTGAGGGGCTGTGTCACGGCTGTCAAGTTCATTTCCTTAATTTATGCCAATTTCGCGTCTTTATTCACTACGGAACTTGAGAAATTACTTCTGAATGACAAAACCAAAGCATGTCTCCCAAGCATTATATCAAACGTTATAAACAACAAAAAGTAAACTTTGAAAACTGTTAGGCTAACATTTTTTCCAAAACGGCGCAATTGTGATCCGTTTCAGGTCTGGAATCTGAGACCTCATCAACTTCGAGATCCCTCTGAATCTGGTGTTCTCGAAAAGTATGAGATTAACTCTACTGGTAGCCTGTGAGCAGGATCACTTGTGCGGCGGCCAAGCCGCCATCCAGAGAGGAAAAGTCACTTTAGCTCTCTGGATAGCGGCTCTCCCGCCAAAATTTTTCCCGAATTCGCACAAGTAAGCCTATTGGCAGGCTACTTTACCAGGGGCCGATGCATTTACTCGTTCCAATGGAAGTCAACGAAGGGAACGCCCTTGCAGTAGAATGGTGTGCAACATTCAAGTCAGCTATGCATATGACATTGTCACATAAAGTACAAAGTGTGAATTGGAGAGCGTGCGGAGGATATAATTTGCCTTGTTCGTGCACTATAGGTTTAGGCTAACAAACTCAACAACCTTAAACGAATAATGTGTTTTAAAATGTTCCTTTAGCTCACAGAAAACAACAATGAGCTCCCTTAAACGCGTCCATTGAGAATGTTACTAGCGTTACTTATGATGACTTGAAAAACTTCTATCAAATGATGAAGGCCTTTCAGCATTTCACATCCAGTGCATCGCTTCAGCTCATTGAAAAACTCAACCTCGTCCCCACTAATACGTACCGTAAATGATCGATTAAGCGTCGCACCTCTAACGAAAATAATTTAATAAGCGTCGCACTTGAATAAGCACCGCAGCGCTAATTTGGGTTTTTGCATAGAAACGCCCAACCTTTGTTACGTCTCTTGGTATACCGTAGAGTTCCGATAGTAGCGACCCTCGTTACTTTCGGAATTAGCAGCCTTTGGGGGTCGCTACTTTCGGGGAACAAAAATCGTTTACAAATAGAGCTGGCGTGAGCTTTTTTCCAATGGTATCGATGGTTTACCGGTCTACCGCATGGGTGAATCAGCCGATATAGAGGAGATCGAGTTCTTTACTGACTCAGGGGTGGAAAGCTAAACTGACTCGATTGTCCTGTATGACGCACGGCTAAGTTTTAGTCTGTACCCCGTACCGGTATCTCAGTGTCATTTAATTGGAAGAAACACGTTCATGTTAATCGACGAAAACTATATAGAGTTTTCAATTTGAATTTGAAGAAACGTTCCTGTTGTTAATACGAAATTATGCCGGTTTACGGTAGTTCTTACATCGCTACATCCAGTGTAGTGATATCAAAGACGAATGGGGGCATAAAGCTTCCCCTTGTTGTAAATTAAAGTGCCTTATCGTGAACAATTTGTGACACTGCACGAACACATTATTGTACATTAACATTTTGACTATTGATTGACAAATTAAAGGTAT